AAAACTTGTTGTAAGGTATTAGAGCAATTTTATGTACATAGGAACGTCCACACTTCTTCTTTTACCTGTCAATTTTCTAGCTATAGCCAGTAGCATAAATTTTCAGGTTATGTGAAAAAAATGTAAATACAAAAGTTTTAGAACTTTTTATGACCTACAACTTTGCCACATATTTTTTTATAGGACTTTTAGTTTTGCCGTAAATCGAGTAAACCCATTTCTTAATCTTAAATACCCATCCCCATACCCTTCCCGACCTCAGATCGCTCGTAAATAATGTTTTCTTTAATTTTTATAATATTCCCTACCTTGTCTAATGAGTTTCATTCTACTTTATTTTAATTATGTTTTAAAAGCTATAAGTCTAAATGTCAAAATCAGCGCATCTGTGGGTCCCAATACAAGACGTTCTCACAGACATGGTTTGAGCACAAATTTTTGAGACCTAGGTCTGGAAAAACCATTTTATTTCAAAATCTAGTTAAGATATATGAAAATTACAGTTTATATTATACTAAAGATATATTTCTTTACCTTCCTACACCATTTAAGCTTGATTTTATATTGCATTTTATCTGTTTTCCGAGAAAGTATATGGGTCTCCTAAATAGTAATTTTAATTCCCCATATATACAAAATAAAACAATATGTAGCTGGATGTAATATTTTATTTTTTATATACAGTCTTGTGTTTAAAATAAAATTCAAAATTAAATGGTATACCCCACATACATTTTTTTCACTGGACCTGTTTCCTAACCTTGTACAAAAAAACCAACTCTTCAAAAGCCACTTTTTTTGTATCATAGACATGCTAATATATATTTTAGAGTGAGAGGTCATTCTTTCTTAACCCGATTTTCGTAAGTGCAAAAGAGTAAACACTATATTCACTCCAAAATACGTTCAAAACTAAAGTCCCGAAACAGGACGCCCCTCATATTATAAGACAAAAATTCGAGCGTCCCAAATTGGACGCTCCACACACGAGACTCGAGAGGCTAGTCTAATGTTAGAAGATCAACACATAAATTAAAAATACGTATTTTTCTTATATCACTTTCAAATACAATTTGTATCCTCATAATTTTTTAAATTTAATTATTTTATTTTCAATATTTTTTATAAAATTTGCTTAATACTTTTAAGCAGTTAAAACTCAGTACATACTTGACTACTTCAGCAATAAATATTTACTTTGCATAGATATCTGGAAGATTGCCTAATTAATTATTGCTTATTAACCTCACTTGGAGTGAGGCTTCAAAAATAAGTTTAGACTCATTTGAGTGTTCCCCTCCACGGAAATCTTTAGTAAAAGGCGAAAGATTTATGCGTTTTGAAGGGAAACCAGAGTGACTTATGTAGTCTTACTAACAAGTAGTCATGAATCGTACAGAAATATTGTTAGCGCGATGTAGGATCGACTCACGATTGGTACAGCGACATCTAGTGGATAGTTTAGTGGAACATGTGACGAACAATAACCAAGACAGAATTACTACGAGCCACCTTAGTTATAATATAATTCTCCTTCAACCTTACATTTATTATTACTCTCTCTAAATTAATTGCCGTGAATAAATAAAAAACAGGAAGTGTTTTTTAATTGAAGAATATAAATAGTGACAATTTTATTACATTTTTATTATAAACCTTTCTTATTGGTCTTCAAATGTGTCTTTCTTTTTAGCTATAATAATCTAAGATTATTGTAGCTACAAAACAGCTTTTCTAAAATAACTTCATTCTATTTTATAAAGCTATTTGTGGTTCCATCGATAACTTTATACATACAGAACTAATACTTCAAATTATTATATTCATATATGCGATATTTTGTAAGGATGCGTGTTAGTTTCTTGTGTAATGAAATAAAATATATTGAACTAATTTTGGTGAAGGCTTACAATAAATAATTGTACAATGCCTAATTATACCTTCATTGCGTATAATTTGCAAATGTTAATACGGAATACAGCCGATAGATGTCGCTGTCATGGTGAACACAATATTTGGTTACCGAGCGTTGCTCGGTATTTAGGAATTATTAGTATTTATTTTCTGTATTTTTTATTTCGTTTCGGAATTTTTAAGTGAACACGTTAAGAAGACACAACACAATATAAATCAACAATTAATTTCTTAGTCTAACGTCAAAACAAACACTCATTGACTTCCGGATTGACAACGCCATCTGCTATTCTGTCGTTAAAGCAACTAGTAAAAGCAATAATCAAACAGTAGTAAGACTATTCGCCAATAGATGTCAGGAAGAGTCATATTTCAAACGACTCCTTTTTATTTATTTTACTTTAATTCAATAACATTTTCTAAAAATGATTCCTAGCTAGATAGATTTATCGCCGACGAAATGCCCTACATACTAAATTTCATGAAAATCGTTAGAGTCGATGCCGAGATTAAATATAAATATACATACAAGAATTGCTCATTTAAAGATATAAGTTTAAGAACACGTTCCTCATTCATCACTGTACTCAAGGCCAGAGACAAAGAGAGATAATTTAGAAATATATAACATACTTTTTCTACTAGTCTCTAAATGTTTTTGTGTACAATAATTAGTTTCCATGTAACTTATATTTGTATGAGCAGAAAGAAAATGAAAATGGTATTTATTAAGTCAGTGAAATTTGAGCTGTAACTTGTAAGTTCTTAAAACAGTAGATGGCATGTCAAGAAACGAGTATAATGTTTCTGAATCTTCAAACTTTTACGGAATATTACGAAAATATTTGATATTTTGATAAGAAAAAGTTTAATTAATTTATTTGTTCACATAGAATCTGTGAGGCGTCTTTTATTGGATTTTATAAATGGATGAATGAATGTGGATTCCTTAACTCATGTGTTCCTAAGATTCACAAGCTTTCTTTCATCCAACTGTGAGTTGCTAGGATCTCGTAGAACAAATCAACCAGTACACAAGTTGTAATACAAAAACAAAAGTTAGGATTTCACTACAAAGAAGCAATCAGAACGATTTCCAATAAAACTATTCATTAAGATAAATCAAGAACGTTTATTGTCTTGTAATGATGAGTTAGGACTAGAGATGGTTGTAAAAAATGTTTATAATTTTATAAAAGAAATAATTAATAGAACATCAATGTATAAAACAATATAAAAATTATAATAATTAATTGATTGTAAAGGTTTGCTTCCTCAAACGACGTCGCACGGGTCTTGGTTTCGTTTTTATGGCATGAGTTATGTTGGTTATTAATATCCGATTTAGATTCATAAAAACTAAATTATAAAAATCCCTAATACATTTTTAGCTTATATCAACAAAACAACTAATATAACATAATTTACGTTATAAAACTCGTCTCACAAGTCACAATAACTTCTTCGATATAATCTGTAACAAAATCTCAGTATATTAAATAGTATTGACAACAGCTCCTCTTCGTTTTTGTGATAACAAGACAGTATTCGTTTATTAAACCTCACTTACAGTGAGGCTTTCAAAAATAAGTTCAGACTCATTTGAGTGTTCCCCTCCACGGAAATCTTTAGTAAAAGGCGAAAGATTTATACGTTTTGAATGGAAACCAGAGTGATTAACACAGTCTTACTTACAAGTAGTGATGAACCGTACAGAAATATTGTTAGCGCGATATAGGATCGACTCACGATTGGTACAGCGACATCTAGTGAAACGTTTAGGAAATGTATGAGAATATAGGTAAGTCTGAAAATTATTTTTCAACTCTCATTCGGTGTGAGGTTGAATATATTATAACTATTGAAATTTCTGTGTTAACACACGGACACACTACATACGTCTCACGGTTTTCACTCTATTATTAAAATGCACGAAGATTTAATAAAAATAACTGTGAACATTCCGTGTGTATGTTACTGCCGATTGGTGTAAAAATATTTATAAAAATGATAAATAAATAATTAATAATATAGTTTTATTTAAAAAGGGGGCAACTGAGCAAACGGCCTATCTAATGGAGGTAGTACCGTCGCCCATGGACATCCACAACATAAGAGATGTTGCGGATTTGTTCCCTTTTATTAGGGAAGAGGGTAAGAAAAATTGGGAAAGGTTGGGAAAAGGGGATGGATAGGAAAGGATGGGAAAAGGAAAAAGTCAACCGTCTCTCTCACTCATCGGACGAAACGCAGTCATTAAAGGCTACTTCACGCCGATCTTCTGTGAGAGGGTGGTACTTACGGTAGAGACAGATCATGTTCGAGCTGTAGTAACTTGACCACAGCTAGGCTCTACTACCTCACTAGTAAGTTCAAATTACCTGAATGAAAGTACATGACTTTATACTCACGAGTAAGTCAGTGAGAATTTGAAGTCAGTTGCAATTTAAAACAGACCTTGCGAACTGCTATAAATAATGACATAATTAATAATTAGCTATAAAAATACAACAATATAAAAGTTTTTTATTCATTAAGAAAAATAATATAGTTATTATTTATTTCGTTTGACTATTTCTGTCCCGTGGATTTTGACAGAAATACTTAGATTTTTTTCACCAACTCCGGCGTCGGGACGCCTACTTTTGTATTCCGGTGCAATCAGTCACGGAGGGGTAGGTTTAAAACCGTTCGTAACCGTAAAATAGGTTTAAAAAAAAGGGTTTTTTCACCAAGTTTTTGACTTGAAATAAATAATATATTATTTTTGGTAATAACTAACGTATATAGAAATTTCTATTAACTGAAGCCCTTGAATTTAAAAAATCGTCGTCATTTTATTATTCTGTATTAAATAATTAATAAGTACCTATAAATTTGAAAGAATGCCTTCATGTTATCGTATTTTTTATTAAGCATTGTTATAATATTAAATCATTTTACTGTGCCATTATTTACAACAACATATAAAATGATTAGCTTCAAGCGAGTTCTAGTATTATACTGAACGCGGTCTCGGTGGAACAAAAAACTCTCAAAGTGTATGACTTAGAAACATTTCATTTTAATATCAAACTTTAAACAAGATGATAACATTGGTATTAGTATTAGGAGTTATAATAGCTCTATACTTATATGGAACTCATACCTTTAACTACTGGAAGAAGAAAATGATTAAACACGATACACCCATGCCGTTTTTCGGGAATAATACGAGAGTTTTCATGATGAAGATGAGCGTGACGCAGCTGAGTGAAGAGGTCTACTGGAAGTATCCCAACGAGCGTGTGGTTGGTTTCTATCGTGGCCTACGACCGGAGCTGGTAGTGAGAGACCCTGAGCTCGTGAAACGCGTTCTAGTCACCGACTTCTCTAGCTTCTATCCCCGCGGCCTCAATAGTCACCGGGAAGTAGAGCCGCTGCTTAGGAACCTGTTCTTCGCTGACGGAGATCTGTGGCGACTGTTGCGGCAGCGTATGACTCCGGCTTTCAGCAGTGGAAAGCTGAAAGCCATGTTCCCACTTATTGAGGAACGCGCAGAGCGACTAAGATCACGGGCACTGTCTGGGTCTGCCAAAGGTCAAGCTATAGATGCTAGAGACCTCATGGCACGCTACACCACCGACTTCATAGGCGCCTGTGGTTTCGGCCTCGACTCTGACTCCCTCCAAGACGAGAACTCCGCGTTCCGTAAGCTTGGTGCTAAAATATTCGATATACCGATTAAAGATGTTATCGTGTCAATCCTCAAGGAGATGTTTCCTAGTACTTTCAAAAATTTCAGCGCTATGGCCCGTGTAGAAAAAGAGTTGTTGGCGCTAGTGAATGAGGTTCTGCGCCAAAGATACTATGAACCGTTGGGAAGAAATGACTTCATCGATCTGATGCTGGAGTGTAAGAAAAAAGGAACAATCACTGGTGACTCCATAGAGAAAGTGAACTCGAAAGGATCTCCAGAGCAAGCGTCTGTCGAGATGACCAGTGAGTTGATAGCAGCTCAGGTTTTCATATTTTTTGCAGCTGGTTTTGAGACCTCTTCCTCCGCGACGAGTACCACTCTCCACGAACTGGCCCATCATCCAAAGATCCAGAGAAAAGTCCAAAACGAAATCGACAAGGTGCTAGCCAAATACAATAATAAGCTCTGTTATGAGGCAATCAAGGAAATGACTTATTTGGAATGGGCTTTCAAAGAAGGAATGAGAATTTTTCCTTCCCTGGGGTTCCTGATTAGACAGTGCGCCAAACCGTATACATTCGAGGATCTCGGTCTCACTATTGACGAGGGGGTTAAGATCATAATTCCACTCCAGGCCCTGCACAACGATCCTAAATACTTTGACAACCCTAGTGAATTTCGTCCAGAAAGATTCGATCCTCAAAATTTTTATAGCAGCAACAGATTCGTTTATTTACCGTTCGGGGAAGGTCCTCGAGCTTGTATCGGAGAGCGTCTGGGCATGATGCAGTCTCTAGCTGGGCTCGCTGCCGTACTGTCGAGGTTTTCCGTCCACCCTGCGCCGGGAGCACCTCGGAAACCAACCATCGACACTCGAGCCAACATTGTCCAAGTAGTACGAGGAGGTATACCGCTGATATTCACAGAAAGACGACCAGAATCACTCACAGTAAAAACATGTACATGAAAATTACTACCAAAACATATTTATGCGGCATTATGAGTTAACAAAATTAATGATTTAAGTGTAGTGATATAAGATTGTATCTATCAACAGAGTTAGCTCAATAATTCATTTGGTTGTGACAATTTATATAAATACTGATTAAACTATTGTTATTTTATGTTATGTAAAAATATTTTCTATCAATAAAATATATATAATTCTACAAACACAAAAATCTGTTCACACTCTTCTTGGTTGTAACATCGTTTTAAATTCTCCTGAATGAACCAATTTTGAAAACGATGGTTATGTTTTACTCGTCATTTTTATAACCATGATGAAATTCTTAAATCCAAAAATGTATATAAAATTTTGCTAACATTATTTTCTTTATGAACTAATCTTATTAAATTATTCCGTCGTCAGTAAGATCAGTCAGTAAAGAACCATCCAATAAGTGACTTCAATCATTGTCTCTTTTTGTCATTTGTATTGTTATACCACATCCCTACTAATATTATAAATGCGAAAGTAACTCTATCTGTCTGTTTGTAATGCTTTCACGCCTACACCACTGAACTGATTTTAATGAAATTTGGTACAGAGATGGAGTTGACCTTGAGAAAGAACATAGTATAGTTTTTATCACCGACTTTTGAAAAGTTCTCTTGGAAACGCGATATAACCGAACTCCACGCGGGCTAAGCTGAGAGCGGCAAGCTAGTACAAAAATAAAACAAAAAAAGTCATCAAAAATAAAATTTTATAACAATAAATAAGTAAATATACATTTTTTTATCTTACATCAAATCTATTCTAATCTAGATAACACAGATAGTAAGACGGTGATGTTATAAAAATAATTTAGGTATATATTTCTAAAAAATAATGTTCTTTTAATTATATATGAAAAACATTTGAATAAACAAAACTGTAATCAAGTAAGGTACATTCTGAAATCCTATTCAATATTTATTTAAAAGAAATAACATTTTTTTTATAATGTTTAAACATCTAAATAAATCCATAAGTGCGTACATTAAAAATTACGAATTAAATTTCATTTTACGTTTTACGTATATTTATATAATAATGTTTTTAAAGACTTATACTAATATCTTAATTTATAAACGAGGTATTTTCTTATGTATAATTTAATAATTTCGTGTTTTGTGATAGTTTTTATATACTTTGAAGTGTAAAAATTTTGTGTACCCCAGTATAAGAATGTAATATTTTAAACAACTATTATTGTATACAAAAACAACTGAATAGTGTGTTATTAATAATATCTATTAAAATATATTGTTTAAAAAGAAGAAAATCAAATATGTCATAGCTTAAAAGAATTTAATTATAAATAATATTGTAGATATATTAATATAATACTTATAATCACGAATTTAAAATGAATGTTCTGATTTAGTAAAACTTAATTTCCATAGTATTAAATGAATCTTGCTACAAAAACTAATTAATTTCTAGAATTTGCTATAATTTATATATTGTTAAAATTATGTATATCTAACCAATTATGTACATATAACAAACATATATACAATATATTTGTTTATACCGAATTCTCTTTTAATTGTTTTATATATCATAAATGCTGTTAATTTCTAAGATCAGTGCCAAGTGAACAGACAGTGGCAGATTAATAGATAGCCAGATGCAACGAGGAGATTTCCAATCATGATGGGGAAACCTATTCTAAGAAACTGTATAAATGTGAATCTATAGCCGTGCTGTTCAGCGACACCCGCGCATACAACGTTGGCGCTAGCACCGATTAACGTACCGTTACCTGGAACACAATATATATATAAAAATATTAAGGGTGGGGGAAAGTAGGAGAGGGGAGAACCATATATAAGCAGCCATCAACACATTAGGACTCATTGTCGTTCGTAACGCATTGCTGATTAATCGATCGTAGATTTTCTAAGTGTCTAAATCTTTCGTTTGTGTTATATACATACTTTATTTCACTATAAGTTTATTTTTAGATAGTTGAGAGTAATGTAAAATTGTTTTAAGTTTTCTTTTAATTTAATAAATTAATAGTGAACTTGTATCGAATATTATTTGAAGAAAACTAAATTCTGACCTGGTTTCTGAGAATACTAGAAGCTTCTTTTCCTTCTTTATCACTAAAGGTCATATATCTGAAGGGTTCTCGAAGTTTCCGTTATTATTATATCCTTCGCTTAAGCTTGAAAATTTGGTTAATCTTAGTGTCATACCTCCTAAACAAGCTCCGAAGCTTAGAGCCCAGGCCAGGGGTGGCAGCGGTAGAGCGAGCGCTCCATCTGCCAGGGCTGCCACCACACGAACCATCATCGTTGTCAACGGTATATTATCCACAAAAGCCGAAGCCAGACCTGACACCTGATTGTAATGAAGAAGCTCATTAATATACTGATCTTATGATGAAGAATTTCATTAATTAAATGAGGAATAACAGTAAAAATTAAGTGTAATCTTGATAAATAATTTAAATCGTATTTAATTAGGGATATTAGTAATATTTATATTTTTTGTACCCATAGTATCAGCATGATGGCCACAGCTAGCCTGGAGTCTTCGCCGACTTGAGATATAATAGTTTCAGTCATCCTTCCTATCCACGCTATCAGACCTAACTTCGATAATACCTAAAACATATAAAGTTAAAGAACAATTTTTATATATATATTTTTATTTTAACCAATACTGAAAAGGCACATTTTCATTTAACCAATACGATTCGAGAAGCTTTAATTTGATTGGACGAAATCTATCGTGATTGTCAAAGATAGAATTATGTAGACAAAATTTTACCGCCCTTATTTTTATAAAAAAACTGGTGCCATTAAGAGGTGAAAAACTCATGCTCTTTTTATCAGAAAGCCATACTAATATATAAAGTTCTTTACTGTGTTATATTACCTCCATCATCACAAATAGTGCTGCAAAGAATAATAGTGTAGACCATTCAACTCTGGCTAATACTGGTTCCAGGTCCTCGCGTTCAGCCAGAAGCAGAAGTAGCAGAGCTCCCAGCAGTGCCGTCCAGCCCAAAGACAGACTCTCTATATAAATATAAAATAATATATATTTATGTTAATAAAAACACGTAATGACTAAGACTTTCGAGAGTATTCATTTAAGTGAAACTAATATTTGTAGGATATACTACGCGTATTATTTTTGAATCACTACGGTTGCTGAAAGTAGCCGAGACGTCGGTAGTATGTAGTTTTTTTACAAAAATAAAGCACGCGTATGTAGTGTATCCGAAAAATATTGGTTTCATTTAAAAATACGTAATTCGGAAATTTGGCCAGGAGATTTATAGTTTCACTCATATCAAAATAACATTTGTGATTGTACATAAATTGTAAAAAAGTTGAAAAATGACAAAATCTTATTGAATAGAATAGAAATAATTGATTTCCTTCTTATAATAATAAATTTTATACAGATTTTTTTGTAAAATTAATATCAAATAAGTATACTTATAATATATATTCAAAGCACAATTATTTATTCTCATCTCGTGTTTCTGATCACGATTATTGCAAAGTAACCGTCTTTTAGTCTCCCATGACTACTTTTATACTTGGATTCTACCCTAAAATACATGGAATTCCAGAATAAAATATATCCTATATCTTATTCTGATACCAAAACTACATTACTGTGAAGTTTCATCAAAATAGATAACGTGCTTTTTGTGTAAATCAGCTACAAACAACCATATATTATAAAAAAGTTTTAAACTCTGATAGCTTACGTAAAGCTGGTATAGCGTGGAGGAAGAATACAACAACGACGAAGGTTATACAAACACCACTCTTGACCAACAACGCCTTGTCACGTATACGATACTGAAACAATAATCATTAAATATACATATTATTATTTTACATGAAAAGCGTAAAAAATAATTGATTTTATGTCTGTATTTTGTGTATCGTTAATCTTCTTCTACCTGGCAATTTCCCGGCTATAGCCAGGGTCTGCCTAACATGTTGTGAATATTTTTGGCTATTTTTTTTTACGACCGGCCGCCTGCCTGACATCAACCCTCTTTGGGAGTGCATTAATCAGCGATGTCTAAATTATTATTATTATTTATTTATTCTTAGTAAATACATATGACGTATATCATTATGTTTAATACTACGAACGTTGATTTATGACAATATTATAAAATGTTGAGTGTTGGATAAACTTACCCTAGAGTTAGGTTATCTTTTACCCAAATTATCTAACTTACCTTATCCTTCATATGAGCGAGAGTTGAACAGAATAGTTTGTCATTCCCCCCGCCTGCCTCCCGTCTCCCGAGAGTTGATTTCAGTCTCTGGACCTGCGACCAGGTAAGCTATATATACTTATTGTGTGATATGTTTACCCCATAAATTGTTGTAGATTACCCCCGGGTAACTGTTTAAATTTACCCTTAGTTTTCTTTTATATGTAGTATATTTATTTTTATTAAACTTTATTGGAGAAAAAAACAGAGCACAGGAATGTAATACAGTAAATTAAAGACAAATAATACCTGATTCCTTAAACATTTCTCACTAAGAAATACATATATGTAGATAAAAAGAGAGGACGCTTGAGCACGCGTCTCTTAATACACTTGATAAAAGCGATTTGTACAAATAAAGTGTGTAAATTTAATTTAAAGATGTGAAGGGAGTTATGGTAAATATTGTAAGCTTGTTTAATAATATTATTTTAAATTATAACTCACAGTTTAATTCACGACGGATATATTTACCCTAGGGGAAAAACTATCACAATACGATCGAATATTAAGCTTAAGTAAATGATGATATTTTGCCTATTTCTATGTCTACTTTGTACCTACCTTTTTATTCGGTTTTCTGACTAATATAACAGATATTTCCTATCTTGTGATTAACTGTTACTGTGATAGTAACGTGTGTCTACGTATTGTAATTAATGTATTGATAATAATATGCTTACTACAAGTTCATCGTCACTACATACGTAGCGTTAATAGTTCTTCATACATACTCATCACATTACAGTACTGACGTGGGTTATCGAGTGAGACACGACAAACTATTGGTATGGCGTGTGTAGTATGAACTCGTGTTAAGTACATACATGGACATTCTGATATAAAATGTCTGTCGGGCATTATATTATTATAATTAATATACATAGAGGATTATTAATAAATAAATAAATTATAATTTATCATCAGCCTATCAGAGCCCACTGCTGAGTAAAGGCCTCTTCTCACATGGAGAAGGTTAGAGCATTAATCACCACGGACTCAAGACGGGTTGGTGATTTCAAACTTATAATTTGATATAACTCCATGTTTCCTCACGATGTTTTCCTTCATCTGTCAGTGGTGTCTAAATACTCTAAGTACATATGACTCGGAACAATCACATTGGTACTTGCCAGGTTTCGAACCCGCGCCCTCATGCACGAGAGTACGGCCTTTATCCAATAGGCCACCACTCTTATCGTTAGTATTATTTAATATATATTATTTACAACTTAAATGCCTACCTTTTTCTCTAACGCTCGTCTTACGATGTCTTCATCTCTCGAATAAGATGACAATGATGCCGCCGCTCGTTTCCACACACTTATTTCTTGACGTAATTCTTAAAAATATACACATTTATTAATTTTTATTAAAATTTTATTAGACCAAGTTTTATATTTCTAGGGATTATTTAAATAAATTTTATTTTATATTTTATATAAGTATTAGTTGAATGATTATTCTGAACTGTTTTATTTATAATATCTTTTTTTTTATCTATCCCTACTAATATTATTAATGGGAAAGTAACTCTGTCTGTCTGTCTGTTACGCTTTCACGCCTAAACCACTGAACTTTAAAATCAGTTCAGTAAAATTTTGATACAGACATTGAGTTATATATAGAGGAAACGCGATATAACCGAACTCCACGCTGGCGAAGCTGCGGGCGGAAAGCTAGTATCAAAGTAATTATAATTGCGAAGAAACTAACATACCTAACAGTAAATAATAATATACGTGTGTCAGTAATAATATACGTTTGCCAATGGCCAATTTATTAATATTCAAGACTAATTAGGGCAGAGCTTCTCTTGATAATAGTTGAGAACAAAGTGTCAGAATGGCAGTAATAATATATATATATATATATATACTAATATTATAAAGCTGAAGAGTTTGTTTGTTTGTTTGTTTGAAAGCGCTAATCTCCGAAACTACTGGTTCGAATTGAATAATTCTTTTTGTGTTGGATAGTCCAGTTGTCGAGGAAGGCTGTAGGCTATATAACATCACGCTACGACCAATAGGAGCAAAGATATATTGGTAAATGTGTAAAAAACGGGAGAAATTATTTCATCTTTGAAGCCTTCCGTTGCGTGCGCCGTGAAAACGTTTCAAGAATGTAGTTATTTCGTGTACTTATTATTACCTACTACTTATTATTGTCGGACGGCACTCGGAGAGAGGGGCGCGGGTGCGGCGAGTACATCGTGTCTGTCTGTGTGTGCGTGTGCAGCGGAGTGTATGTGAATAGCTGACCATATTATTTCCACGAAATTGGGATAACTAATTTCACAAATAAAAAATGCAAACGCACATATAAATAATATTTGGTGTATGCATTGCGTTTATATTATTATATTCTAACTGGGGTGTTTGAGGGTGTGCGTTAATTATGTTACATGTTGTATATATATATGTCAATCTTACCTAATATATCTCGTGGTACGCAGTGCCGCAGACTATTCATGTCCCTGAACATGAATCTCAGCTGTATGTATGTCTGTATACACACCAAGAGTATACCCAGACCCATGTGGAGGGTGAATGAAGTGAAGTTTATATTCTGGAAGAAAAAAACTTCGTCTAAATGCAGGTGGTACAACTTGATTAAGCTTAGAAATGGGAAGAAACCTCTCATCATTCATATGCGTGTATCGGGTCCATCGTTGTAGTGAGAGGAGCTTCAACAGTGACTGGGACTTGTGACCCAGGTGTAGGTTTAATATATATAGAGAGACGAAACCTCTCATCATTCAATGTATTCATATGCGTGTGTCGGGTCCATTGTTGTAGTGAGAGGAGCTTCAACAGTGACTGGGACTTGTGACCCAGGTGTAGTTTTTAATATATATAGAGAGACGAAACCTCTCATCATTCAATGTATTCATATGCGTGTGTCGGGTCCATCGTTGTAGTGAGAGGAGCTTCAACAGTGACTGGGACTTGTGACCCAGGTGTAGGTTTAATATATATAGAGAGACGAAACCTCTCATCATTCAATGTATTCATATGCGTGTGTCGGGTCCATCGTTGTAGTGAGAGGAGCTTCAACAGTGACTGGGACTTGTGACCCAGGTGTAGGTTTAATATATATAGAGAGACGAAACCTCTCATCATTCAATGTATTCATATGCGTGTGTCGGGTCCATCGTTGTAGTGAGAGGAGCTTCAACAGTGACTGGGACTTGTGACCCAGGTGTAGGTTTAATATATATAGAGAGACGAAACCTCTCATCATTCAATGTATTCATATGCGTGTGTCGGGTCCATCGTTGTAGTGAGAGGAGCTTCAACAGTGACTGGGACTTGTGACCCAGGTGTAGGTTTAATATATATAGAGAGACGAAACCTCTCATCATTCAATGTATTCATATGCGTGTGTCGGGTCCATCGTTGTAGTGAGAGGAGCTTCAACAGTGACTGGGACTTGTGACCCAGGTGTAGGTTTAATATATATAGAGAGACGAAACCTCTCATCATTCAATGTATTCACGGTGCGTGTGTCGGGTCCATCGTTGTAGTGAGAGGAGCTTCAACAGTGACTGGGACTTGTGACCCAGGTGTAGGTTTAAGGGACCCTATCTAACGCGTTAAACGCACACCTCCACTGTCCAAGCTCCTCTCTCTAGCAAATTTGAAAAGAACCTACTAGGGCTGCCTTCGACGTACGCTCTAAGAATGAATTAATGTGAATTATTGTAACAAAGTTGTACGTAAAATAATCTTTTTTGATGTTACAGGGAAACACTTTTTACGAGCCGTTCAACCGGCCTTGGTGGGGCCGGAAGGGATGTGTGAGGCTCGGCCTGGGCAGGCCCCTACTCACTAAAACCACTGCGAAAGCCATCGGCCGCTATGTCGGTGTACCCCGGATCTGTCAGCGACAAGGCACACCAGCGATACGTAAAATAATCTGATATACTTATAAAAGCTTTATTTAATGATGAAATTCAAACCATTTATTTGTTAAATCTAATAATTATTTGGATTAAAACATTTGTATTTAAAACAAGTTCGTTTCGTCACTACATACGAACAATTTCCCGTTTATCATTCAAACTACTAACGCTACGTATGTAGTGACAATTCAAACTTCAGTAAGGTACTGCTTAAAATATTAATTAAATAAATTAAATCATTCAAATATGAAAAGTGTTTTGGACTATCTAAATTTTTAAGCCGAAGCGTCACTTAAGTTATTAGTGGGTATAAAATAGATTATTACATCTCGACCGGGGAAGTACCACCCTTTCACAGAAGATCGGCGTGAAGTAGTCTTTAATGACTGTTTTACCTGAAGAGCGAGAGAGATGATAGCTCTATCTCTTTTCCGCCCTTAAGCCATTTCTGCTCGTTAGCCATTTTTGATAAAAAATAATAAAAATATAATTATTTCATTACCACAGCGAGTATTGATGGGTGGCTGGCAATGATAACATTCGGTGGATCCCCAACAGGTGTCGCTGCGCCTCCGACGTTGCTAAAAATGACCATCGACATCAAAACGGGTACAGGATTAAGCTGCATCACCTCGCATAACCTGGAAATATGACCAGCACAACGTGAATATTAAATACTTGATAAAATATATCTATACTAATATTATAAAGCTGAAGAGTTTGTTTGTTTGTTTGTTTGTTTGTTTGTTTGTTTGAAAGCACTAATCTCCGAAACTACTGGTTCGAATTGAATAATTCTTTTTGTGTTGGATAGTCCAGTTATCGAGGAAAGCTGTAGGCTATATAACATCACGCTACGACCAATAGGAGCAAAGATATAGTGGTAAATGTGTAAAAAACGGGAGAAATTATTTCATCTTTGAAGCCTTCCGTTGCGTGCGCCGTGAAAACGGTTCAAGATACACAAAAAATATGTATTAAAGAATAATAGCTCTCTTAATGATCTAAAAAACAGTCCGCGACAGTATATGTCTATCTTTTAAGATTAACTCACAAAAACCCTTTTTATGGTACCTAATTTTGTAGAAAAAATTTGATTAAGTTTTATCAAAATAATAATATTAATCTTTATTCATATAAACAAATAAATATGTTGTTGGTTAAGAGTACTTCATTATTAATAAAAAAAACATAGGTTTCATCCTGAAAATTATACGGGAACTCGACCATTCCGAAAACCCCGCAAGAACGGGAACTATGTGGGAAAAACCAAAAATCTGTCGGAAGTAACTATTCCACGTGGACGAAGCCGCGGTAAAAGCTAGTCACATATAAATGCGGTCGAATTAATTTCATATTATCCTACTAATATTATAATTTGAAAAGTTAGTGAGTGTGTATGTTTGTAACTTCTTTACGATCAAACGGCTGAACCGATTTTGATAAAATTTTGTATACAGGCAGATGACGTCCAGGAATAACACATAGGCTACTTTACTACATACTTACACATAGGCTAGGAAATCAAAACAGTACTACATATTTGGACACATATTTAATTTGAACCGAACCTTTAAATCCCCGAACCCACCCGAAGTGACGTTAAAGCGATGACGTTTGGTTTGTTCACTTTTACGAGGGAAAGTATTTGTTGACAAGACTTGTGTTTGTAAATTAAATTTACCTTATTTAATGTGTTTTCGTTTAAGATAATAACTAGTTTGTTCTAGTTAAGGTTTTATTAGTTAATAACTATATATTTTACGTGAATTTCAAAGTATTTTTTCATAACTTATAGTTGTACTTTTGTTTTCTTGACACATAACAAAGACGTTATCTTGGATAACTTGAGGCTATAATCAATTATTATAAAAACTAATTAGTATTCATGATTATTGCTAAAAATAAAATGAAATCAAAGATTGTTTAAAGGAGAATAGAACTATGTTTGAATGTTGGTATAAATATGACGTCTGGACGCACGACGGCAGAGTTCAGTGAGTGCGGACCATTGAAAAATATAGAACCTTCTAGAAATATAAGGATATTTAAAAGAATTGAAGTTTCATTTAATGTACTGAAAGAGGGGATGTGTAAGGTTCACGTTTGTCTTTGAAAACAACGAATTTGTATTAAATACGATATATAGAATTCCATACACCTACAAGTCAGTGGTAGCCTAGTGGTTAAAAGCCCGCCTTTCATAAGAGCACAGGTTCGAAACCTGGCAAGTACCAATGTGATTGTTCCGAGTCATATGTACTTTAAGAGTATTTAGACACCACTGACTGATGAAGGAAAACATCGTGAGGAAACATGGACTTATAACTTCACAATTATAAGTTTGAAATCACCAACCCGTCTTGAGCAAGCGTGATATTGCATTCCCAAAGAGGGTTGATGTCAGGCAGGCGGATCGTAAAAACAATTAGCCAAAACTATTCACACACGTAAGGCAGAACCTGGCTAAAGCTGAGCAATTGCCAGGTGGAATAATTTTATTTATATATCTTACTTACCGTATAGTAACCGGTGTCATTAAGAGGACTGTTGTTACGTTGTCAAGAAAAGTTGAAAAGAATGCTGTGAAGAAGCACAGGCAGTTGATTAAAGGCCAAGTTCTACCGGCTGTTATCTGAAAATAAAATAACAATATCATAATAAATATTAAATATTTCAAAATATTATTATGAATCTTTTTAAAGTTTCAAATATTAATTGTATTTTTTTGTGGTTGTCAATCGTATGGTGACAATCATATTTAATTGAAAACTGAAAACATTAAATTAAAATCTTTGTACTTTAATAAAGGTACAATTATAAATAGGCAGACCCTGGCTATAGCTGGGAAATTGCCAGGTAGAAGAAGAAGATAATTATTAACAATATTACAAGATAATACCTGTGAAGTCTGTCTTATGAAATTAAACTAATATTTTCATATTTACTATGAGTTGTAATTTTTGAACTAAACTAAATATTTTGATTATTTGCAACCGTGATCTCAACGAATAGATGAAAATGTCTGATTTAAATAAAAAAAGCATAATATATCTAAAAAATATTAGTTTATATAAATCTTTATTCACGATAGTCTAAAATTTTAATATATCTTTTAATCGGGATCATTGGACACTTATAAAAAAGAATAAATAATATTATTAAGATTCATAATAGAATTTTAGTTTAGTTGGAAAAATAACTAACACAAATTTCTGACATCGAAATAATTTTTCTAAGATTTTCGTTATATTTATTCGTTTAAATGAAACTAATTTTCTATAATACTACATACGCGACTTTATTTTTATTTACGTATTGATGTAGTTTTTGAAAAAAATCTCGTAGTATAAAAAAAACTGAAAAATTTTAGTATTTTCTTACCTCGAAAGCCTTGACAGCAAGATTTACGTATTGATGTAGTTTTTTTTTAACAAAAAATCGCGTAGAATAAAAAAAATCCGAAAAAATTGAATATTTTCTTACCTCAAAAGCCTTAACAGCAAGGAAATCGAATAGTCCCGTTTCTGCTATAATAGCTACCAGTATCATCATGCTGAAGAGTAGTAGCAATGTTTCCACATCAAGCCAGGAGATGAGCTCGGAAAGGGAAGGACGCTCACCTACTAACGCTAGGGTTGCCACACCCAAGGAAGATGATAGCAGGGCTGCCAACGTGCGATTAACTATCTATAGAAAAAAAATCAATATAATACTCTAAATATACGAAAAGAATAAAATATTTTAAATTTATATCATTTTTATTCATTACTAGCTGCGCCCTGAGGTTACCCGCGGATGTAAAGTAGCCTATGTATTATTACTAGACATCAGCTTCATGTGTTCAAAATTTTATCAAAATCGATTCAGCCGTTTGAGAATGAAGAAGTAACAAACATACACACACTCACAAACTTTCGCAATTACATATAATATGTATTAGTAGGATAATAATTTTATCTTATGTTCCATGTATCTTATTGTTCTATCCAAAGCATTTTTTACTTAATGGTGGGTAAGTTACCGTCGCCCATTGACATCTGCAACGCATTTGATTGTGGAAATTGGGGAGTAAAAGGTGGGAAAGGGAGGGAAAAGGGAAAGGGCAACCGTCTCTCTCACTCATCAGACGAAAGGCATTAAAGACTACTTCACGCCGATCTTCTGTGAGAGGGTGGTACTTACGGTCGAGCCAGCCTATGTTCGAGCTGTAGTAACTTAACCACAGCTAGGCTCTACCTATACATAAATTCAGTATATATATTTTTATATATAACATATACAAACCTCAAATATTATAAGTATATACAACGTGGCTAGTAGAACACTCGCGAAGATCAGTCCTTCTGTTTCGGAGAGAGGTTTTTCGTGCACACTTATAGTAAGAGGTACAGATTGGTTACTCGTACAACTGAGACGTAGAAATATCTTCGATTCTGAAATTTTATAAAAATTCATAAATTAATATTATTGTTCATTATAATAAACGAAAATTATTATAAGTATCTAAAATTTACGAATCGCAATAACACTGTTCAAAGAAAATATTGTAAACTAGCTTTCCGCCAGCAGCTTCGCCCGCGTGGAGTTCGGTTATATCGCGTTCCCAAGAGAACCTTTCAAAAGTCTGAGATAAAAACTATCCTATGTTCTTTCTCCAGGTCAACTCTATGTCTGTACCAAATTTCATTAAAATCAGTTCAGTGGTTTATGCGTGAAAGCGTAACAGACAGACAGACAGAGTTACTTTCGTATTTATAATATTAGTAGGGATTAATAATTTAAACACACTTCAAAAGGAAATATTTGATCAAAATTTTCTCAAATAACATTTAAGAATATAGTGTTGTATGGACATATAGATATATGTACGTATGTGTGTTCTAATATACATATATGAATTTAAACTAGTTTTCGCCCGCGACTTCGTCCGCGTTAATTTCGGTATTAGTAATATATGTATAGCTGATCTGGCGAACTCTATTCCACCCAAGAGGCTGTAAATAACCAGATATTGGAATTTATTAGTTCTTTTATCTTTTTCAATGGAACAGAATTAAATATCCTACGTCCGTCTCTTTGTTCTAATCTATCGCTCCACCAATTTTCATCCATATCCATACAGCCGTTCTTGAGTTATAAATAGTGTAACTAACACGATTTTATTTTACATATATTACAAAACCGCTTAAAAACAAATAAACAGATAGGAAAATTAATTATTATGATTGTAGTTATATCTATCTATTGTTAAGTGTTTGAAGTTAATTTAGTAAAAACTAGTATATACTAGAATAATCTGCTTTTTATTTCCAATTATAGAACAAGAATGAAAACATTAATAACAAAAAAGGATTGTAACTAGTTTTTGCCCGCGACTTCGTCCGCGTTAGTTTGGTCAAGAGTAATATATGTAGGTATAGCTGACCAGGCGAACTCTATTCCGTCTTAGAGGCCATAAATAATCAGGTTTTTCCTGTTTCAATCAAACAGAATGATTGACATATTAGTTAGTTGTCAAATCTAATGACAAAAAAACGTTTGTATGGGAAATAGAAAAGAGCTGTTTTTAGGGTTTTCCCGGCAATTATTCCAATTTTTCTCACCTTTTAAACCTTCCCTGGACTTCCAGGAGTATTTCAAGACTAAAATTAGCCAAATCGGTTCAGCCGTTCTCGAGTTTTAGCGAGACTAAGGAACAGCAATCCATTTTTATATACATATATAGACTAGAAGATGTTAAAAGAATGTACGTACCATTCACTCCATATTCGGTGATATTTTTTTCTTCGTACGTCTCATTGTATGTAAAGGTTTCTTTATCAATTATAAGAATATTATCTTCGGATGAACTTGGAGAGAAGTCTATTAGATCATCTGGTTGAAGATTAACACTCCAAGTTGAGGAATCCTTGAAAATATATAGCTTTTAGACAAGGCTTGTAATCCCAAAGAGGGTTGATGTCAGGCGGACGGTAAAAACAATTAGCCAAAACTATTCACAACATGTAACGCAGACCCTGGCTGAAGCTGGGTAAATTGCCAGAAAGAAAAGATAAGACAAGGCTTGCATAATTGTAATCGTATTCAATTTTTTTTAAATAAACTTTATATATAAATCTAAAGATAATAATTATGAATTAGTTATCAGTTTACATAATATATTAAGAAATATATATATGTATATGTAATTCGAAGTTAATTCTGCACTTTTTTTTGGTTAAAAAACTTCCCATCAAAGTTATCTTTAGTAGTATACACAACAGCGATATTTATAAACACCATATGTAGCGCCGTAAATATTTACGTTTGTCATATGTACAGAACAGTAAACCAAAGATAGGTATGTCAATACATTTACCTAAATGTGTTGTATGCTCAAGAGCGTAATTTTTTGTTAATGTATAAAAAATCTATAGAAAAACTTATTAATTTAACAATTGCTTGGAGAATATATATTTACTAGCTGACCTGGCAGGCTTCGTACTGCCTCAATTGATAAATATATATTTTTTAAAATATTTTTTGGAGTTCACCTATGAGCCATAAATCTCCGTATTCTGAAGTGCGACAGAATGATTGACATATTAGTTAGTTGTCAAATCTAATGTCAAAAAAACGTTTGTATGGGTAATAAAAAAAGGGCTGTTTTTAGGGTTTTCCCGGAAATGATTTAATTTTTTCAGCTTTTAAACCTTCCGTGAACCTCCACGAACATTTCAAGACTAAGATAAGATAAATCCGTTCAGCCGTTCTCGAGTTTTAGTGAGACTGACGAACAGCAATTTTTTATATATACATATATACGTATGTATGTAGTAAACTTTTGCAATATACGTTTATATAAGAAAGAAGTACATGTATAATATATAAATAGCTTAAAATTAACATCGTTCCACAGATGCTATTATTTTTATGATAAAAATTGCAATTTCTATCGTATTTAATAAATATTTTATTAAATGTTTTATTTCTTGGAAGGTGGAAATGAAATCATATGTCAATAATCCCCTCTTCACTCTATTTTTGACACCAACATTATAATGAATAATAGTTTAAAATAATAATTATAAACTCAGGAACTGCCCCAATTTTCTGCTGATGTCATGAAGATAATCGTATAAAAGCAGTTTAATTAATAAATTTAAAATGTGGATTCAACCGAATTGTAGTGTAGTATAGTTATACAGGGTGACTGGTGAATTACTATCAATATTTAAGGAGCATACTCTGTACATGATCCTCATTCGAATTATGTAAAAAAAATAGGTACTTAATTTTTGACCAAATTTCCGTATAAATAAATAAAGTGTGGACACGTTCCAAGTGTTCCAAGTGTGGACGCGTACGGCGGCGTGCTGATACAACACGACGCCGCCGCACGCGTGTGTGTGTGTGTGTGTGTATACCTAATCTGTAGGGTGTGCACACGATGCGTAATTAATTACATAACTTTTGGTTAACTTTACTTAGAAGTTTATTAATATTTATGTTATATTAATTTTTATTTTGTCATATATGATCGTCAAATATCACGTCCTCAAGTATCGATAGTAATTCACCAGTCACCCTATATATATCCGGGAATCGAATCTTGGAAGCGTGAATCAAAGCAGTCATTGAATATACTAGTGTCATTGAGTTTAGTTATCATATTATTAAAGTGCATAGAAATTATGAAACAGTAAATCCCTTATGTCTTGTAATAATATTAGCTCTTCAGATATGATATGGTATCTAATACTACTTTTGTTACAGGTTTTACTTCATATTTATAATATGAAAACTTTCTTTGAATGTTTCAGAGGAATGTATATAGTATGTAAAATTAATATTATGTATATACATATATATGTATATAAGGGATTGGATTTGGAAGGCGGAGGAAAAGGTATTGTGGCGCGAATTCGGAAAGGCCTATGTCCAGCAGTGAATGAATGAATGTTATGTAATGAATGAATGTAAATGAATGAATGAATATGTATGTATATGTATCTAAAATTAATATTATGTATATGTATTAGAGTACTATTACTTATGTATGTAAATTGATACAAGCGGTTGGTCCATAAAAGATTACTTTTATATAGATATTTTTTAATTGTATCTTTAAATTGAAAATGAAGGAAGGTGAAATATCTTATGTATAAAATTCTCGTGTCACAATATTCCTTCCCGTACTCCTCCGAAACTTGACCGATTCTCATGAAATTTTGTGAGCATATTGAGTAGCTTGAGAATTCATCAACATTTATTTTTTATACCCCTAAGTGATAGGGGTTGTTCAATCCCCTTTTTTTAATTTTTACGAAAGGTTTTGTTTTTATTTTTTTATAATGTGGCATTAAAAATACATACAATCCAAAATTTATACTTTTTTATCACCAACTCCTACTTTTGATATCGCAAAAATCATTTGCCGGGTCAGCTAGTACTAAAATAAATTCCTGTATTGAAAACAAAAGGAATTTAAACATTTTCTAGGTTTTTACCTGTTCATCTTCTTTGTATTTAGATGTTCTGTGTAGCCAGAGTTGTAGAGACGAGGTCGTGTTGGTTGCAGAATCGGTAAAGGGACCAGTCAATGAAATAGCAATCCTGAACTCTTCATTAGATGAATCCAAAAAATATTCTGAAATATGTTTATAATTTTGTTAAGACTTTGTTCTTTTCAAAATTGGTTAATAGAGAGGAGCTTGGACAGTGGAGGTGAGCGTTTAACGCGTTAGATAGGGTCCCTTAAACCTACACCTGGGTCACAAGTCCCAGTCACTATTGAAGCTCCTCTCAATACAACGATGGACCCGACACTCGCATGGAATGATGAGAAGTTTCGTATCGTCTATATATTCATGTCAAGAATCATTATCATTTCCCTAGCGCCAGAATCTCACGCAAAAAAAATTAGAGAATAAAGTACATATAAATATATTTAATTTTAAAGAAAGTTACGAGTACATGATTATTTTAAATTCTATTAGTCGGAAGTGTATTTCTCAGTAAACTTGTAATAAGTTTGTATCCCAAACATACTGATTGACAATAAATTCTCATTCGTAAACCTTCGAACATTATAGTATCAAAATAGCTATTCATTGGGTGCATGACCCCAGCGCCATTTAACGATACAATTTACGGTGGCTCTTTTGAGAAAATAAATGCATTACATGTAAAAAAACAATTTTTTTTCAATGTGAAATGTGATATATTATACAGAGTGAATATTAAATTTTTAAAAAAATCCGTGGGTCAGCTAAAAACAGTTAGTTAGTTAGATTCAGTAATAAAATGGTAAGTCAGTGGTGGCCTAGTAGTTAAAAGGGTCCGCCTCTCGTACACGAGGAAGCGGGTTCGATCCTGGCAAGAACCAATATGATATTTCCTAGTCATATGTACTGTCTAAGAGTATTTAGACATCACTGACATACGGTGAAGGAAAACATTGTGAGGAAACATGGACTTATAATTTCACAATTATAAGTTTGAAATCATCAACCCCGTCTTGAGCAAGCGTGTAATTAATCCTCAAACCTTCTCCATGTGAGAAGAGGCCTTTGCTCAGCAGTGTAAATAGATATATGAGTGATAAATGCATCAAATAAATACCTTTTATTTCACCAGGATTCACAGCTGTATGTAGAATTATATCGGTCTTCTCTCTATTCATTAGCAAAGAAACTGTTAGCAGCATCCAGCCGGCTACCAGCACTGTCAGTTTTATCACTCGTAACGTACGATCCAGCTGAAGTAGACCAGTAGACCGGAAAAGACCAAAAAGACCGAGTAGACCAACATCATTATTGACTTATCGTACAAAGTAAAATGATTCTCAATTAAATTTTAAATATTGTATGGATATTTAAAAAAATAATCATAAGTAACATATATTTCTTATTATGTTTTGACGCGATTTTCAGTAAATTTTACTCATCAAAGTGTAAGGAGACACAATTAATCTTTTACTGAGTTATTTGTGAGACTATATATTTATATGACAATGTTATATATTATAATCAAAATTAATTTTTTTGTGATAAACATAGGATTATTCATTGGAAATTAAGTTATTTGTAAGACTTCTTCAGTTGTAAGAAAAATCTGAATGAAGTATTGAAAGTAAAAGTAACTTTTTGAAATTCGGGTAAAGCAATAATTAGGTATAATCATATTTTAGACTTTCGCGAGTATTCATTTAAATAAAACTAATATTTTCAGATTTACTACGCGTTTTTGTTATTACAAACTACATAGTCCCGAAATTTGGGAGCTGCAAAGTAAAAAAATTAAGTACTTATAGTAGTTATCTATAATAAATTTTGGATCCTTACCATTTGTATGTTCAAACTGATAACGGTTCGTTTTCTGTTTTTATCGTAAACCCATTTTGATAATATAATGCAATTACTTCTAAACAAAACTTTGAAATGCCATTTATTTTTGCAATGCAAACTTGTGAAAGGTGACGAATGATTTAAATGTGATAAAAATGTAATATTGTTTTGTATTTTACCTGTTTTTTACGTTTTGGTATTGATTTTTCGTCATCGGGACTTGTTTCTTCTACCAATCTGTAAAGTAAATTACTTTTAATTATATATATTTCTTTTTTTTATGTTAAAGGGGGCAACCGAGCAGACGGCCTATTTGATGGAAGTATTACCGTCGCCCATGGACATACGCGACATAAGATATGTTGCGGATGTGTTACCAGCCTTGTTTAGGAATGTGGGGGAGGAAAAAGTGGGAAAGGGAGGGAACAAGGAGGGGTAGATAAGATTGGGAAAAGGAAAACGGCAACCATCTCTCTCACTCTTCGGACGAAACGCAGCCATTAAAAACTACTTGACGCCGATCTTCTGTGAGAGGGTGGTACTTACGGTCGAGCCAGCCCATGTTCGAGCTGTAGTATAACCACAGCTAGGCTCTACCACCTAACAAAATGTGAGTATATAATTTATTTCTATATATATTTTCAAATATTCTCACATGATTAGCGATTGTAAAATCAAATACTGAGACTTATCAGTTATAAAGGTACGTCGATACTGGTACGTACGAACTAGGAAGTATTATGAATGGAATTGAGACTATTTAGTGTGACAAGACAAACTTGTGATACAATTATTGATATTATGTTTTTATCTCTTAAATATACACTATAGTATAGTACTTATTAATAATTTTATCCTTCAATGTAGGTTTAATTTAAATGTTATATAATTTTTTAACCATTTGTTTGATCATGCATAACCCTTAGGATGCGTTACGATAGACCTATGAATGTATTTATTTTAGACTAGTTTTTGCCCGCAACTTCGTCCGCGTTAGTTTCGTTATTAGTAATATATGTACAGCTGACCGGGCGAACTCTATTCCGTTTTAGAGGCCATTATTAATCAGGTTTCTCCTGTTTCAATCGAACAGAATGATTGACATATTAGTAGTCAAAGAAAAAGTTTGTACGGGAAATAGAAAAGGACTGTTTTTATGGTTTTCCCGGTAATGAATCATAATTTTTTTCAGCTTTTATGCCTTCCCTGAACCTCCACGAACATTTCAAGACTAAGATAAGATAAATCCGTTCAGCTGTTCTCGAGTTTTAGCGAGACTAAGGAACAGCAATCCATTTTTATATATATAGAAGATAAGTAGACATATATGTATATATATGTGCGTGCGTGTGTGTGTGTGTGCGTGTGTGTGTGTGTGCGTGTGTGTGTGTGTGTGCGTGTGTGTGTGTGTGCGTGCGTGTGTAATTCTTACCTGCTCTCTACATCTCTATCACGTATATGCTTCTCAGAAACTAAATTTTCTTCTGTTATTTTGTTATTTTTATTTATATCATCCCCCGTTGTTACTTCAACTTCGACGTTTGGAAGATCTTTGCCTAAAGAAAAATAACATATATTTAATTTGGATATTTTAATAATATTATTGGAATTATGGTTAAGAGAAGTCTCATATATACATATATTACCTGCAAATATACTTCGTTATGAAAGAAAAGTCACGTTTTTAAATTGAATTTACTGGTATTTTTATATAAAGACATACATTATACAACAGTTATATATTCATTTTAAGATATATATTTTATTTTATATATATAGTTGAAGATGCTATTAATAACTACAAAATGATTTCTAGTCACGACTAATATTTTTATTTAAACTCATTCATCATATAAAAATTGGCAATCAATGATTTTTATAGTTTGGCAACGCTTTTGATGTGACTGAATTAAAATATTTTTGATGTAAGATCATTAATGATGAATTATTATATAAAATATTTGTTGATTTACTCTTTATTTAATCAACAACTTTAAACTAAGGCTGATAAATCTGGTAGGTGCTTATACTGATTAGGTATTAAGTGTTTTAGGGGCTCTAAATATTGACAGAGATTTTTATGGAGAAATTTTAAAAGAAGATTGTTTAGTGACTTCTATTCAATGTTTTATTTGAAAGTTATTTAGTATCAAACTAGTTTTTTGTGATGACTTCGTCTGCATTTGTTTCAGAATTAGAAATGTATAGTTGACCGGTTACACTCTATTCCTCTAAAGGCAGTAAATAAGAAAAGTGCCTATCCTGAGTCTTCTTCTTTCTAAGCTATACTCCAATCTTGAGTTATAAATAGTGTAACTAACATGACTTCTATTTGTATATATAATGGTTAAAAGGCCCGCCTCTCATGCACGAGGGCGCGGGTTCGATCCTGGCAAGTACCAATGTGATTTTTCCGATACATATGTACTTTCTAAAAGTATTTAGACATCACTGATTAATGCATTCCCAAAGAGGGTTGATGTCAGGCAGGCGGCCGGTCGTAAAAACAATTGGCAAAACTATTCACAACATGTAAGGCCTGGCTAAAGCTGGGAAATTTCTAGGTAGAAGAATATAACAGCTTATATATATATATATATATATATATATATATATATATAAGCTGTTTTATATGTATAACTCACCATGTTTTTGCTCGTACATCTGCTTGAATGGAGCCAGGGTTGCATCGTATTTGATGGCATCAGGTAAATCCAACCAGACATCCAAACTTCCAGGAGTCAGATCACTAAATGACACCATAGAATAAACACTATTACTTTTCTTTTTATTCATTCTTCCGAACGGTTTTGGTATTTTAAAACTCATTTTTGACACTTTATATACTTATTGTTTAGTCAAAATTTTTGTCACTGTTATAATTTTATAAGTAAAAGTTAAAGTAATTCGTGGATTTTGTCTTAGTATATGTAGAGAGAGGAGCTTGGACGGTGGAGGTGAGCGTTTAACGTTAGATAGGGCCCCTTAAACCTACACCTGGGTCACAAGTCACAGTCACTGTTGAAGCTCCTCTCACTACAACGATGGACCCTACACACGCATATGAATACATTGAATGATGAGAGGTTTCGTCTCATAAAATATGTTTATTTGTTAATAACTATTTAAATATAAATAACTACTTTCAGTTTGATTTACGATTGGAATCAGATATATTTATTTTAATCTAAAGTTTTAAATGTAAGTTACATTATTATTATTGTCACGAAACTATCACGGTAAGCCTTTTACACTTTATAAAATATTATATCACTTCCTACTTGAGCAATGGCTTTATAACTGACTTAAAATTATTATATTATCCCTACTAATATTATAAATGCGACAGTAACTCTGTCTGTTCGTCTGTTACGCTTTCACGCCTAAACCACTGAACTGATTTTAATTAAATTTGGTACAGACATAGAGTTGACCTTGAGAAAGAACATAGGATAGTTTTTATCCCAGACTTTTGACAAGTTCTCTTGGAAACGCGATATAACCGAACTCCACGCGGGCGAAGCTGAGGGCAAAAGCTAGATATTATATAAATAAATAGTTCTATATAATTCTATATGGATAACAATCTATTTAGACATTTTTCACAGCCGTACCTCAGACATCTATGAATATACACAGATAGTTGCCAAAGAATCTATTCCAAGGTTATCAGTTTTGGCTATTAGAACTTCATATACAGACAGACAAGAACATTAAAAAATATCCATCATTTGTAAATAAACTTGGCAATGAAGTATATTTTAATAATTTAATTAGTTATCCTTACTAATATTATATATGCGAAAGTAACTCTGTATGTCTGTCTGTTACGCTTTCACGCCTAAACCACTGATCTCATTTTAATGAAATTCGGTACAGAGATAGGGTTGACCTTGAGAAAGATCATAGGATAGTTTTTATCCCAGACTTTTGAATAAAAAAAAAACAAAGTGTGGGTAAACTTGAAATTAATATTTGTTTTAATAATACTTTTTATCTATTAACAGATGTATGTCAGGAAACTTGTAATTTGAAAATATATATTTGAATAATGTCCGAATTTTATCTCTCTTATCTAAAATAGCCATCAGGTAATTTTTATCAGCATTTTATGAAATAATTCAAGGACATTGCCAAAATTGTTTGGGGGTAAATATTGATAAAGATGATGTACATTTATGAAATATTTTGAATAACACTATTTTTTACTTCGTAAATATTAATAAAGTTATAAAATTCTATTTATTTGCAACTGGCTTATACAGCTTCGCCCGCGTGGAGTTCGGTTATATCGCGTTTCCAAGAGAATCTTTCAAAAGTCTTTGATAAAAACTATCCTATGTTCTATCTCAAGGTCAATTCTATATCCGTACCAAATTTCATTAAAATCAGTTCAGTGGTTTAGGCGTGTAAACGTAACAGACAGACAGACACAGTTACTTTCGCAGTTATAATATTAGTAGGGATGCAATATATATAATGATTAAGATTTTTTCTTCAGTGATTTTAAAGCATTTAAAACACAAACGTTTACAAGACATGGAACGAATTAAGATTTATATTGCTACGTTAGAAAAAACTCCCAAATTTTCCACGCTCCGATTACGAAATCCTTAATAATAGATAATGTACAAGTGTTATTTTCTACTAATTTAACGACAAATTTTTTAGAACATTTTTACATAATTTACATTTAAAAATGTTTGCACAAAGTAAAACGAATAACATAATATAATAAAAATGTATATTGTTTAGTTATCTTGTTAAATAAGTGGTGGCCTAGTGGTTAAAAGGCCCGCCTCTCATGCATGAGGGCTCGGGTTCGATCCTGGCAAGTAACAATCTGATTTTTCCGAGTCATATGTATTTTCTAAGAGTATTTAGACATAACTCATTAATGCTGATTCCCACAGAGGGTTGATGTCAGGCAGGCGGCCGGTCGTAAAAACAGATAGCCAAAACTATTCACAACATGTCAGGCAGACCCTGGCTATAGCTGGGAAAATGCCAGGTAGAAGAATAAGATTGTTTAGTTATCATGAATACTTAAATTTAATTCTTAAAAATACATTTTCTAATATGGAAGTAGACTATGTTATTCTTTATTACAAAAACTACCGACAGGGAAAGTTACACCAAAATTGGTCTAGATTTTTTGGAGGTTTCTCGAAACCTACTCAACAAGTTCAAAATAGTTGTAGAAAAATGTTTTTTCGGTATATGCACCGTGCCTTGAAATTATATTTTGATTTATTTCTAAAGGTAATATGATTTTGTAAGAAACAAAGTCGGAATAAGCAATTGATTCTTATGAAGAGTCCAAAAAACTTTCACTTTTAGGCTTGATACACACCACCGTACGTTAACGATACAAAAAATATAGCTTTTATCAGAAATAAACACAACGGCTGACAGGTTATACTTCCGAGAAATAAAGGATTAAATGAAAACGCAGAAACTATTTTTAAAGTAGCCCATATTCGGTCAAAATCACAAACATTTGAAATGCGATGGTTGTAAAAATAGGTTAAATTTTTTTGCAAGTATACACAGCCTGCTTAAAGTTTTTAAGATATGTTTAGACTATCCCAAAAATAGGACTTCGATTGTAAAAATTAGAGGACCTTGATTATTAGCAGCTCCCAAAAAAGTAGTAGGAATAGCTTTATAATTTCAAAAATTTTGTGGACATTTTCTAAGTAAAGATGATCATTTATTGCACAATCAGTTGTGAGGACGAAAACAGCTCGAAACACTAAGAGTTTAATTCATTCATTATCCCATAGAACTGCTTGTAAGGCTTATACTCTTGATTTGATTTAGGGATTACTCAACCTGTTTTTGCAAGCGTTATCACCAATATAAGGTGTGAAAACTTTTGGGCGTAATTCCTAAAGATACCTATATCTCTTTATAATTGGAAAAACTTTACAGACACTCAAATTTAAATGAAACCGTTAAACTAAATTTAATCTTCTATATATATAAAAATGGATTGCTGTTCCTTAGTCTCGCTAAAACTCGAGAACAGCTGAACGGATTTATCTTATCTTTGTCTTGAAATGTTCGTGGAGGTTCAGGGAAGGTTTAAAAGATGAAAATCATTGATTCATTACTGGGAAAACCATAAAAACAGGCCTTTTATATTTCCCATAAAAACGTTTTTTTTGACATTAGACTTGACAACTAACTAATATTATGTCAATCATTCTGTCGCACTTCAGAACATGGAGATTTATGGCTTACAGGTAAACTCCAAAAATATAAATAAAAAAACGTAATAGATATTTCTTGATTATAGGGCGATACGAAGTTCGCCAGGTCTTCTAGTATGGAATAATAATCAAGGTTCTATTGCCCTAAATAAAAAATTGAGTAGTTTAATGGGTATATTCGAAGGCCCAGTGTATATATATCCTTATATCTTGGATTCAAAGCACGTTTCCTAAAAATGGGACATAAAAATCAACAAAAAGGTTGCATAAGGATTTCATTACATAGACTATGTCGCTACTTTGAATATAAAATATTTTAATGCCCTGTATTACATAAGACAAAATAACTTTCTGTGAAATTTGGGTCATAAATAATTAATTTAAAATCCATATTAATATACATTTTTAAGAGTATTTTTTTTTTTTACATTTTAAAGCATATATTATTGTACACGAGAGGGTTTAAGATATCAAAATTCTGTATCTATTTGAACAGGAGTTCACAAAAATCTTAGCATTTTACTCTGCAATGCAACAGAAGCATAATTCGTCAAAAGAGAGCGATTTCGGGTTCAACAAACTCTAAACCAGATTGCACTGGCCCGAACCAGTTAGAACCGGTTACGTCATGTTATAGAATATATCAAGCAAGAAAGATCCTTATATTTTATCACATAAGTCTCAAATTCGTTTACGGTTTGTGAACCATAAAAAAACCAGGTAACAAATTGTTCGACCAGACACGATATATTTGCAATACAATTATTTTGTAGACGAGAAATTTCGAAAAAGAATTCCACACAATACAATTAATTAGCTTCAATATTATTCTATTTAAAAACATGGAAATAAACGAAAATATTTATTTAGTTACATAAAATTTTTATGGATTTTTTTTTCATCTATATTTTTGTGATAATCATGAGAAATAATATAACGAATTACGTTATGTATTATTACCTATATGTAATCAGGTTTGATATAAAAATAAATTCAATTAATTATATTTTCTTATTTTATAATAAAATTTATTATATCCCTAGTACTACGCTGATTAGGCGACATAACGTACAGTTTGTACGTTTTATGGCATAATGTTGAACGAAAAAAATATATATATTATTTTAGTTCAGCAAATCCTTAGTAATGGTTTTTTAATTTACTCGTACTATCATAGTTTTCGTATCTACACTTATTTTATCGTCAAACTTACAATTCACATACAAAAGAAATTATATTTGTTCCAATAACTTCGGACTTTGTAGAAATGTAGAATTTAGATTTTGTATGTATAAACTTGTGCTTATCTTTGAGAAAATATACATTTTTTAATAAAAAAGAAATATTTTAAAGCTTAATTTGAATAAATTAATTAAATGGTTCTCTATTTGGTAAAAACATCAGAACTAGTCTTTAGCATATACATTATTATTATAAGAATTGAATCATTTCGTAAATTTATTTAGAACGTTATATAAATATTTAACCAAAACAACGTTCAGTTTCTAATACTGTTTTTCTATGTATTTAATTTATTACAACATAATACGATACGTTTAAATTACAGATGAAATAACCGTCTTATACATATTACATGAAAAATAGGATCTTTAA